TTTCTTGAAATTTCTTTTCTAGATGTCGATTGATGTTCCGAATACGTCGGCAAAGTCACAAATTCGATATCTCCCTTAGTTTCCAAATAGAATTTTCTAGAACTCACTCGAAGATTCACTACACAGTCAAAATCGGGTACAGAGTCACTTCCGGAATAATTTACACGATCGGTTAAGTCTCTTTTTGTGATTGTCACTGTTTGCACTGAATAACTGTCCCAGTGTTCAGTTCAGTTCACTAAGTGTTCAGTTTTTACACTACACTAGTGTCCCCGCACTTCCGCAATTTGATTTCACTCTGCAGTCCTTTATATCCCACTCCTGACACCACTTGTCACGGCTTTGGATTGCCTGACAGAAATCTTGGGTTCGTTGTTCGTTTCGTTTATTCCAAAAATCAAAGTCCAATTAACACAGCTATAATTTATTCCACTTAACAATACACTCCAACACTAATTACTTTAATAACTAACTCAACAATTAAACTCTTACAACTCGCAATAATCACTATTTAAATCGTATCACAGTCAAACTTTAACTTAACTTACAAACCAATGCCAGCCTTCTTATATACCCCTAAATCTATTCCTGTAAAATCTAGACTACACACTATAATCCTATTTTCCAGATTAAAGTAGAATAATTCGCTAGATTCTAGCATTTTCGCCATCGGAACTGAGATTCTTAACAGCCTGGCGAACGCCACGCCACAATAGCAAAATTTACCTCAATCATGATTTGACAAAGCAAAATTTGGAAATATTCAAAAAGGCACAAGCATTTAAAAAAAGAGAATAATTTTAGATTCCTCTGGATCAGCAGCGGAAATATATTATTACCGAAGGGTACAGTAAGATGATTTTGATTGACGATGAAAATAATCTAAAAAACATGTTAATGAAAACTTAAATACATATAGTGTACATGAATATCCAGAGTTTACGAAACAAGCTGGATGAGGTGCAATGTTATACATAACAAAAAAAATGTGATGTGCTACTGCTGACTGAGACATGGCTTTCTGAAGGAGACAAATAGCTGTACAAACTTTGTGGCTATAAGTCTATACACTCATGTAGGGATAAAAAAGGTGGTGGTGCCACAATTTATCTTAAAAATGGAATCAACTTAAAAGAACTAGGCAAATTCCCACCAGATGATAATCTAAGCTGAGTAAGTGCAAGCATAGGGGATCATGGTACTGAATTAAGCTTATTTTATGAACCACCGTCCTATAATAATGATCAGTGCCTTAATACCTTAAAGACCATTATATCAAACAACCCCAAATACCACACGATAGTAGGAGATTTCAACAGAAACTTACTGGACCATGAATCTAACATTGTGCAGGATTATAAAACCGTGCAGGATTATAAAACCATGCTGGCAATAATTTTTTTTAACATCATGAATACTATAGTATAGATAAAAAAATGCTACCAGAGTGACCAATACCCCTCAAAGTCTCTTAGATCATGTCTTAGTTAAGGAAAACTATAGTAAAAATTACTCCATCGTTCTTGAAGAAAATGCATTGTCCGATTATAGCAGACTGGTAATTATACTCAAAAAAAAAAATGTTAAAACCCATAGAGTAAAGCCAACACATGAGATCAAACATTTAAATTATAATAGATTCAGAGTAATGTTTGAAAATAGAGTCACAAGCACTTACATAGATACTTTTAAGAAATTTATAGATCTAGTAAATTTATGTAAACAGGAGTGTGAATACACTACTATAATAAAGTGTCACAACAACAACTTGTGGATCACTAAAGATCTGTTAAGTTTAATGGAACAAAGTGACAAACTGTACAACAGAAAAAAAAACCCTCATGACAAGAACATTATACCCAAGCTTAAAGCATTAAAAAACAAACTTAATAATAGGATTCGAACACTAAAGAATAAATATTTTTGAGATAGATGGAACATAGCAGGAAGCAATTAAAAAAACAGTGGAAGTTGGTGAATGGTATGCTAAAAAACATTACAAAAGACACTAATATAGACACTCTTACTGTAAATAATATTGAAATAAAAATCCAAACATCATAGTAAATGAATTAAATACACATTTTGCACAGGTGGGAAAGAATATTGTGGAGCACATAAACCTTGAAATAGAGACCACTAGGCCAGATGTACAATTTGGTAAATTATACTGTGATAAAAGCTGCTTTATAGAAGAAACCTTGGAAGAAAGTAATGAAAATGTGATTCTTGACACCATTTTGGACCTCAAAAAGACTGCTGCCCCAACTTCACCATTCAGGATCTGCTTAATTTGAAAGAGAACATTGTTCAAATATTAGTTAAATTAATAAATAATGTTCTTGTCAAGGCTGAATTTCCAGAAGAACTCAAAATAAACAGAATTACTTCAATTTTTAGAACAGTTGCTAAAGACTCAATGAACAGTTATAGACCTATTTGTTGTAAGTGTGTTCTCAAAACTAATTGAAGCTCTAATAAAAAAAAGAATGTTGTCATTCATGGATAAATATGTAGGAAGGGAAGGGGTGTGTTTCAGTGTGGTTTTATAAGAGACAGTAATACTTTGAGTGCTACAATGGATCTTATAGATAAAATAGCGACATCTTGGGATGAGGGACAGATCGCTGTTGCAGTGTTTGTCGACCTTAGTAAGGCTTTTGATGTTGTTAGTTTCGATATTTTACTAGACAAGCTAAGTGATATGGGATTTAGGGGTAAAATGCATCATTTAATAAAATCATATTTGATAGGAAGACAACAGTATGTCAGGATTGGTGACGACAAAAGCTCATGCACATCAAATTTGAGCAAAGTACCCCAAGGATCAGTCCTAGGCCGCTTTTGTACTCCATTTATATTTTAATCTTGAGATGTGCAGGATTTCATGGTTTATATTTTACCTTTGCTGATGACACAGCGATATTGTATTCAGATGATAGCCAGGAAAACTTTCAAACGGTGATAAATGATGATTTGGTGTTATACTATAATTGGTTGTTACATAATAAACCTAAAATAAATACAAAAAAAACCAAGATCATGCTTTTCAAACAAAAACATTATTGTACCAAAGATTAAAATAAAAAATATAGAGTTAGAACAAGCAGAAAGTCTTGAGTACCTGAGATTGGTTATAGATAAAAACTTGAGCTGGTCTGAACACATTAAACAAGTAACACAAAAAACAACCTCAATGATTGTGCACTCTATAAGTGCAGACGTTATTTAACCCATGATGTCAAGATCAATATACAGGGTGTCAATTTGAAAACTTGAAATGGCTATATCTGAGTAACCAAAAAAAAATATAAATATCTCTAAAAACAATTTCTATAATAAGGAAGGGGAACCAAAATGATGTAATAACCAACGGTGATACCTTATCTGAAAGCTCTTAAAAAATGCTTTTCAATGGTACCCTACAAGCTAGGATGCGATGTAATAATTGTCAAAATAAAACCATTGAAATGTAAATTGAATTTCTGACTATTATTACTATTAATTTGATAAACATTTTTATTACCATCGTAGCATTAATCTCGAGGCTTAAACATTTCAGGCTTGTATTATTTTTTGTTTATTCATTGTTTTGGGAACCTGAAAAAATTGACAGTCTAAAAAAATACAATTTTAATTTGATTGAATAAGGTTTTATTTACCCAATAAACCAAAAACTATCCTATCGAATGTAGCTTTGTAAGGCACCATTGAAAAGCATTTTTTAAGAGCTTTCAGATGAGGTATCACAAGTAGGGGGTTGCTAGTTAAGATTATTTAGTTAGGGTGGCTGGGGGTGAATGGGGTAAGTGAAAACAGGTTGGTTATTACATCATTTTGGTTCCCCCTCCCTATTATAGAAATTGTTTTCAGATATTTTTTATATTTTTTTCGGTTACTCAGATATAGCCATTGTAAGTTTTCAAATTGACACACTGTATACAATGCTTATTTTGCATCACACTTGAGATACCTTATCCCGGTGTGGGGTGTTTGTGGTAGTGTCAACTTTAGAAAGATGCGAACAATACAGAATAAAAAACTAAAAATTCTTTTCGATATTGACTGGCTCGTATGCACACAGGCCTTATACGGGGATCTTGGTGTATACCGACTAGCTCAACTTTTGAATCTGGAGCAACGCAAATATATTTATAAAATGCTGAATAAAACACAAAAATGTAATACACAAATTATGTTGACAAGCAACGCACACAACTATAATACAAGATCTTGTAATAGTATTTATCAATGCAATGTAAATACGAACAAAGGCTTAAATAATCCCATTTCACAAGCTTCCAGTTCTCTAACAGTTTACCAAATGAAATAGAATCATAGCTTTAGGAAAATTTGTGAAAATGTTAACAATTCATCTAGAAAATAAGACAATATAGGTTAGATACATTATCTGTTCAGCGCTGTTAAAGTTAACTAGCCTCGATACCAGTGCTTAAAGCTCTGTTTAGAGACTTTTATGTTATAAATTCCTTTGTAAACCATATTGCTGAAATATATTTTATTTCCAAAAAAAAGTGATACCTTTTTTAAAAGAGCGTTCAATTCTCTTTCATTTGATGTCAGTAGCCTGTTTCGTTTTAAACGGTATAAATACCCTGTATACCTTTTGCCATTCAATGCGCCTTCAACCTAATTTTTGGGCGGTACCTAATCAGGACCAAGTATGACCACTTTTGTGGTTTGGTTTGTACTTTGTAGGTACTTTTTCAACCAAAATAGTTAAAATGTTGAAAGAGTCAGCGTAATTTATGTGGGCAAAGAGTGTTTTCTTCTTCCAAAATAGTTTAAAAGAAAAATAATGTTATCATAAATAATGTAGCTTCTTTGTGTTGCTTCACATGAATTCGAAGTCCATGATTTTATTTAAAAAAAATGTCTTTGCATAAGATATCGAAATATAAAATGTGTGTACCTATTGTATATGTTATTACGAGTGTTATTATTATATAGTGTTTGTTTGTTGTGATATTATGCCTTACCTTCAGAGAATATATATATATATATATATATATTTTTTTTTTTCTGACAAAATATATCTTTGTTTAAACAAATCTTGAACAAACTACAAACAAATACTGAAACTGAACTGACATTTGACTGCCTATTGACGAATGACAGCGGAACGGTTTTGTCAGACTGCGTTCCGTTTCCAAGAGCCGCTTTCCAGGGGCGAGTTCAGGAATGACACACTCAGTGTGAGTGTGACACCGGTGCGACGCACTAGCCGTTCATAAATGCTATAGGCACACCGAGTGCGCGCACTCTGTGCCGTTCAGAAAGTACTTTGGGCGCGCTCCAGGTGTCGCACCGGTCACACCATAATTTTTTGGTGTGGCTGCGGTGTGATTGTGTCTTTATGTCAACAATGTCAACCATTCCTCCCATAATCTCAATAATTCCACCAAATATAAACAAAACACAAATAAGAATTAAAGTTTTTCCTTCAAATTAAAAAAATGAACAACAAAAAAAAGTAATCCCAATAGATTTTGAGAAATTTTTGAGATGCTCGATTGCGGTCACACCAAGCGTTCAGAAATTCATACGAAAGTTGTCGCCAACGAATTGTCATTTCAGTCACACCCATAAAATCGCACTCACACCCGGTGTGTTATTTCTGAACTCGCCCCTGTATGCACATTGGCGCGCTCTGGCGCGCTCTAGAGCACCTCGGGGGCGCACGCACTAGATTTGTACCGTTCCAGTATCATGGCGTGAGACGCCTGTCTTAGTGTCAAATATGTCAAATTTTAAAAATAAATATCTGTTTGTGCAGTTTGTTTTTTTATTTATCAAAAATGAAAGAAAATCAAAACTATATTTTTTAAAATGTTCAATCTTGAGATATAACAAGAAATAAATAGATAAATAGCCACCCACGATGTGACAGCTGATAGGTTGACGCGTACGTACAGCTCGGGAGCTCAACGCCCCGAGTAGCTCCGGGCGTCACACTCCCATACTAGTTGTATTCCTTTCAAGAGCTTGAAACACTCGAGCTACTCGCTCCGGAGTTTAGTCGCCACCCGATTTGCAGGGAACAGATGCGTGGTGCAACTAACACTTTTCGAAAGGAATAAGCGCATGAAGCCCCGGAGCTGTTCCGGAGCTCCTCTTAGGTATGAAAGGAATACAACTAGAAAGCGGCTCAGCCTTGTCTGGGGTGCGTTCAAGGACGGCAATGCTAATGCCAAAACCTACTTTTCCCCCTCCACTTGTAATGCCGAACAACGTAGGTTGGAGCCGAACTCGAACGCAAAAAGCCAATTTTGGCTTGGCTGTAGCCATTCCTGAACGCAGCCGTGGTGCCCTGCCTGAAAAACCTGTAGGGAGATTCTAAAATCACGATTCGACACACGACTAGACACTAGATACCGGCCCTGTCGCATGTATAGTCGACTGGGCGATGTTTCTGTTTTTGTGCCAAAACGGCATATATTGTTAGTACGAATCAAACACGCGAGCGTGTGAATGTTAGGAACAATCTAAGGACGCGAGTGACGGCGTATGTCAAAATTTTGTTAATTTTGATATATTTTCAATTTGTATCATTTGTATTTTGGTGTTTTTATTAAAACAACATTCATATAAAATTATTAAACATCATTTTAATTAATATACCAAACCTCTGTTTGAAAAATAATAGTTTTATTGCAAAGAAATGGATGTTAGATATCTAACCCGCTGGCGCTAGCGATGATGTAAAAAAATGAGGCGCCAGTGATGGCGGGATATTGATGTGTCACCATTTCCGACGTCATTAACCAGTCGACAGCTGTTTGCACATGGACCAAAAAACACAAAAAATATCTAGTTTGTGCCCGACTTAGGGCGGGTATTATAAAACTGCTTTAACAGTTAACTTCAAGTTAACTGCTGTTTTATAATACCCACCCTAAGGGCGGGTATTATAAAACTACTTTGAGAGTTAACTTGAAGTTAACTTTTTGAATTACGTATATTTTCAGAAGTTAACTCTCAAAGTAGTTTTATAATACCCGCCCTTAGGGTGGGTATTATAAAACTACTTTGAGAGTTAACTTAAAGTTAACTTCTGGAATTACACGTAATTCAAAAAGTTAACTTTAAGTTAACTGTCAAAGCAGTTCTATAATTACCCGCCCTTAGGGCGGGTATTATAAAACTACTTTGAGAGTTAACTTAAAGTTAACTTCTGAAAATACATGTAATTCAAAAAGTTAACTTCAAGTTAACTGTCAAAGCAGTTTTATAATACCCGCCCTGAATCCTATATATTAATATTTAAAAGTAACAAGAGGTTGGGAACAAGATGGCGGCGGGACCTCTATTGTCGCCACTGTTGTATGTAAAGGTTTATTTAGCTACAGTGACTCTATTACCCACAGTGGCGACAATTGCTGTCTTATTTTTGAATGGTTCTAAAATCCCATATATTTATATTGAGAACGCGGCCATCTTGTTCCCATCTATTGCTAATTTCAAATATGAATATATGGGATTTGGGTGAACATCCATCATAAAACATGGAAACAACGTATTTGATGGACCTAATAATAGTCATCAAATACGTCGATTTCAATTTTTTATGAAAGATGTCCATTTAAAACCTATAAATTCATATTTAAAAGTAACATGAGGTTGGGAACAAAATGGCGGCGGAATCTATTAGCAAAAGCCCGGGAAATCATAACCTGATTTCATGATATTCGAATGGCAACACGGCAACATTGCATCCATTCCATATCAAATTACCCAAATTATCGGCACCTTCACCCTTGGCTTGTTATTGTTTTTCAAAATTTCAAAAGTCTTTTTTTCAATTTTCATTTCCCTTATCATTTAATTTTGTGTTATGGCGATCTTTGGAACCGGCCAGATTTCCGTAGCCAAATTAACCATATTTTTACTTAAATTAAACAATAATAATTAAAATATTCAGCTCTCGATTCAGCTATATTTTCCTAGAACATTCATATATCCGAGATAATTTTGTAACAATTGAAAACACGTTGCAAAATCCACTGCAACAATGGAAGAGCAGAGTAAGTTTTTTATTTTTGATCTGTAAAATGTGCATGTACTTAGGTACCGTTCATTATTTTTTGCATGAGTAGGTACCTATATCGGTGCCTCGATCGGTGCATTACTTAATGTGGTTATTCAAATTTCATGAAATTGTCAAGAAAATCATACTCATTCTCATATTCCAACTTATTTTTCACAAACTTGACCTGCAACTCATCATCAGAACATAACTGCACTAGATTCCCATTCCTAGATACTCCAGAAAAATTTCGCGCACCAGAGGCTTTCGAATTAGAAGATGATCAAGAAATATTAGTACCTACATACCAAATCTCCTGAAAAATACCAAAAAGACTGTGTCATTAATGAATGATGATCCTACAGTATTACTACAAATTAAATATTGTCTTCAGATCAGAAGTATTACAACCAGTTAAGTCTTTTTCATCAAACCTGCATGAATCCTTATTATCAGCATATCAATTAAATCTGGTGCACCAAAGGAGAATAAACCTACAGTATCAATAGTATCATCGCCTGTTAAATCTGTGTCATGAAAGCAGAATGAACCGAGGAATGGACCCATAGTATCATCACCAATTCTGTCTCATCAAATCAGCATGAGCCTACAGTTACATACATTACAATGTAATCACTTCACTACCAATGAAATCTGCATCATTAGATCATAATGAACCCATAGCATCAGAGTGGTCTTCCCTTTTTCCGCGTTTTTATTCCTTTTATATAGGTCAAAAGTGGATTATAAAAATCATGCTTTTCAAAAATAAAACATACCCAACTGTGGGATATCTGTTTTAAAGTTTTGTTTTTTCTTGTTTCAAAAAGATCTGGGTTTTTTAGAATAAACTTAATGCTTATAATATTATTATAACATCAATATTCATTTAATTACATGTAGGAGGCTTTAGCGATTTATTGATATTTTTAATGAAAGTTCACACTGTACTATCCACTTTTAATTCTAAAAAATTTGTAAAAAATTGACACACTCTATTTATTTATTTATTTATTTATTTATTTATTTACGGGCAAGACCCATTAAAAGTTTCAAAAGAAAAAAAAACAACAAGAAACATTAAGTACCTTACAACTAAATAAACATAGGCCAGTAATACTTGGCGTAGTAACAGGATAAAAATACATATAAATTATTAACAGTAAAACATTAAATCAGTTATAGGTATAAGAAAATAGAGGACAAACATAAATAATGACTGATCAAGATGACTAGAAATTCTTAGCTATCGAACTTGGTATCACAAACAAACGAGGAGAATTACATTAGAGAGTTAAGCTCTCTTTTAAAGCTATTTATGGGTCCAAAAAAATCCAGGCTACCATGGGTGTTACATAATCGAGAAGTTCTGGAGATGAATGTATTCAAACCATAGTTTGTACGGTGATTTCTTTCTGAGAAGGTTATGGCAGAGCGGGTGTCCCTTGCTGGGACGTGAAGCCCTATTCTGGACAGTAGGTATGCGGAATCACTAATGGAGTTCAGTACCTTGTAAAAAGTATATAAATCTCTTTGATTGCGTCTAGCTGCCAAGGGTTGTAGATTGAAGCGTCTGTATAGGTCGTCATAGTCATATACATAGTTCTCAGGCGAAGGAATACCTGCCTTGAAGGCTAAATAACGTACGAATTTGCGCTGCACTAGCTCTAGGGCTCTGATATGATTAGAATACATTGGTGACCAGACAGAGGAGCAGTACTCCATCAGGTGCCTCACCATTGAGCAATAAAGGTATCTGATAGAATCTATGCTTGTAAAATCTCTCGAACACCTCTTAATGAAGCCTACAAGTTTTAACGACCTTGTTGTGATGTCTGAAATATGGGTGATAAAATTGAGACTGCTGTCAAAAATGACACCAAGATCTCGTTGTTGTGAGACAGTTTCAAGCGGAATGTTGTTTATATGGTACGCGAATTGTGGAGGGCTACGACCCTTGGAGAAAACAATGGCTTTGCATTTGGAAGCATTGAGCTCCATGCCGCTCAAAACGCACCACTCAGAGAGTCTGTCAAGGTCAGATTGTAGTCTGGCACAGTCTTCAATAGAAGAGACCCGGGTGAACACCTTTAAATCATCCGCAAAGCACAGGAACTCACTGTTAATAAAACAAGACTTGATATCGTTAATAAAAACGTTGAACAGCAGAGGTCCCAAGTGAGAACCCTGTGGAACGCCCGATGGGATGTCAATTTCGTGTGAGAAGAAGTTGTTAACTTTGATTATTTGAGTTCTCTCCCCAAGATAGTCGCTAATCCACTTCAACAAAGTACCGGAGATTCCAGCACTTTCAAGCTTAGCAAGCAGAACGGCATGGTTGACACGGTCAAAGGCCTTTGCAAAATCGGTATATATGTAGTGAACTGATTCGCCATCCTCAAGAATTCTTGAAACTTTGTCCTGGTAGGACAGGAGATTGGTTTCAGTTGAGCATTTTGGACGGAAACCGGTCTGCTGCTCAATTAGACAGGGATTGATTTTTGGAGTTAAAAACTTTGTCACTATGCTCTCAAATACCTTTGGGAAGGTGTTTTGGATGATAATGGGCCTGTATTTTGAAATATCCATTTTATCGCCAGATTTATGAATGGGTATGGTGAAGCTCTGCTTCCAGAGTTTAGGAAATTCACCCAAACTGAGTGACTTATTGAAAAGAATGAAAAGTGGACGGGATAATACAAAGCTACAATTCTTTATCATAAGAGGTGGGACACCGTCTGGACCTGGACCCTTAAAAGACTGCAGGCTACATAGTTCTTCATAAATAACTGATATTGAGATGTTAAATTCATGAATATGTGCATCGCTCCGAGAGATGTCCTGACTAGCAACACAGATTTTGTTGGAATAAACAGAATGGAAGTATTCAGCAAAGAGATTAGCTATCTCTGAACCATGTTTGGCAATGTTGCTATTATAAAACATGTGAGACGGCAAACCATTCGCTTTTCGCTTGGCATTGATAAAACTCCAGAAGTGTTTGAGGTTGTGATCATTCAGCAGTGACATTTCAGAGCGCTGCACATAATTCAGATAGGAGTCCTTTGAAAGAGTCTTACACCGAGTGCGAAGATTTGAGAAGTTGTCATAGTCACTAGGAGAGCCAGTCCGCTTCCAGGTTCTGTGTGCTTCTTTCTTCTTGATTATGAGTTCCTTTAGGTCGTCTAAAAATTATTTATCTTCTCGGACTACTACTGCTGTCAACTAATCTTATCAGTGTTGCTGGTCAACACAATCCATGCAGGTGCCAATAAATACACACAGCCTCAAAAACCTTGGACCCCCTGTTAGAAATAATCTCGTACTCGATCTCGTATAAATTGCTGTTTTTTATCAAAAATTAAAAACGCCAAAAAACCTTATCTCTTTCTTTAATCTCTAACTATAGCATTTGTTAAAAATTGTCAGTTTCTTGTAAATCTGGAAAAGTATAAATTGCACTTAATTGTTCAAAAATGCCTGGACATCGAATTTCCAGTTTAGATAGAGCCAGAATAATCGCTCTACACCAAGATAGGATTTCAGCGAGACTTTGCATTCCCAGATCGTCTGTCATCAGAATAGTGCAATTATTCCAAGAAACTGGAGGTGTGATTAAGAGACCTGGTAGTGGACGTCATCGTGTTACAGATGGGAGGATCGATATCTATCCAATTTTGTTCGAGGTAATCGGAATATCAGTATCACAGCGATAAGAACGCATTTCAGACGAACCTACGGTAGACTCGTTTCTAGGCCTACAATTCGGCGAAGGCTGGCTGGTGCTAATTTGCGATCGACAAGTCCCTTAAGAGTGCTTACTCGAGGACATAGAGCTGACCTCTAAGAATGGAGCCGTAATCACAGAAACTGGCTTTTACCTCAATGGAGAAATGTCCTTTTTTTCTGACGAGTCCCGATTTGGACTGGCAAGTGATAGCCGCCGTGTAAGGGTATGGATAGAACCAGGACGCGCAGCACGTTTGGTCTTTCTTCAAGAAGTGGTTCCTATCAAGGAGGGACAGTAATGTTTTGGGGGGGCATTACGCATAGTTACCGCACTCCTCTTATGCTTGTTTCTACCAACTGTTTTAGGGGAGCCTTAATTTATTTATTTATTTATTTATTTACGGGCATGGCCCAATTTCATAAAGTAATGTAATACATATAACATTTTATACACAGAATAAACACGTTTTAATAATAATTATTTTTGAGGCAAACAAAAAATAGCATAACTGGCTAATTATTGATACGTATTCCTTAAAATGACAGTTTTCCATGGAGAAATGACAGTTTAAGGAATACTTATCATTAGGGTTTCCCTAAATTAGTTGGTGGAAACGGCCATTATTCACATACCAGGGGTGCTGATGGGAAACATCTACCTCGAAAATATTATCAGGCCAATTGTTCTACCCCGGAAAAATTAATTTGGGCCAAATTTCATTTCCATGGATGACATCGTTCGCCGACATCGCACTAGAAGGATCCAAAACATGTTAGCTGAATCCAATATTGAGAGAATGAACTGGCCGGCAAACTCGCCCGACATGAACCCAGTTGAGCACGTGTGGGATATGCTTTCCGAAACAAAAAGTTTGAGAAAAAATATCTACATTTAATATGATGTGGCTTCGGAAATCTAAAGTGAAAATTATAATGAAAATTAAAACGAAGAAAAAATTTTGATTGGAAAAATTTTCAGCGGCTTCAAATAAATGATGTAAACCGTTGATAATATTGAGCAAACTTGCCCTTGATGATGAAGCTCTATAGCTTCGAAACATGTAGGGCTCTCTAATTTTCAATTAAAAAATTTGTGTGGAGGAAGACTTTTGTTTCTTATGTATTCAAATTTCAACTCCACTTTGAGTCATGGACTACTTTTTCAATTTATTAACTATTGGATTTATTCTATTATTCCATTGTAATTACTACCTATTACTATTGCCAATAAATAGATAAATAACCGTTACCTCGACCGTTACCAATAAATTTGTAAGAGTCTCCCACATAATTAACTTAGTCCTAAAAAAGAAATTGTTTTTAGAGCTTTTTAAGAAGAAACAGAAAGCTGCGGGCAACGATACAGCACTTGCTTCCGCCTGCCATGATCTCGCTTCATTCTATATCAAGGAAGGAAAATTTGAGAAAGCGATTGAGGAATATAAAGTTCTTCTGAATATTTATAAAGATCAAAACCAAAGGATTTTATATGGCTTAGCAAACAGAGGTATTGCGGAGGCGTATATGAGCTTACAGCAATATGATCAAAGTAAAAAGTATTTCATGGTGTATCATGGTAAATATGTGCCTGTATTATTAGCCGAATGTTCTCATTCTGGATTATTTAGATGTTGCTGTAGAAGAAAATGATACATTAGAAGAACAAAGGGCGCTAGCACAGCTTGGCCACATGTATCTGACAAGGTATTTAGATATGCCAAGTACAGAAAATAAATACCTCTTGAACAAAGCTTACAAATTTTTATTTAAAAGTATGGACAAATGTCAAAGGTATGTAAACTAAAACTATCTAATACACCTATTCACTCGTGGGTATTAGGCTTGTAAAATTTCCATGTTTATTTTTTAGTCTTGCAAATTCAACAGAGAAACAAGACATGCTAGCCAGATTGATATCAAATTTAGGTCTCGTAAAAGAAAATTTGGGTGATTATGAAACTGCATACACCCTATATAAAAATAGTATCAAAATTTGTAAGAATTATGATTTTTATGAACAACTGTATAGAGGGTATTTGTCTATGGCGTCAATTTTTGAAAAACAGGACAAGTACCAAGAAACTATCAAGAATATTAATTTGGCAATTGAAGCCGCTAGTAAGTGGGTTAATGTTTCAATCAAATCGCAGCTGTAAATATATTTTTTTTGTTTTCAGAGAAATTAAGTTCGAAAAGGGTTGAATTAATATGTGCAGCTTTATTAAGTAAATCAGAAACGTTGATAAAAATTGCCGATTTTCAAGGAGCCAAACAAGCTTTGAGAAAAGCTTATAAGTTTAAAACAGTCAATAAAGAGGACCAAAGGTGTATTGAAACAAAATTGAGAATTGGTAAGTTGTTTTCAACCCTTAAATTAGATATTTCGAGTATTTGAAGGAAGTTTTTTTTGATAGTTCAATTCATCATGGCAGTAATGTCAAATTCGACACTTTTAGCAGTTCCCTGCTTTCAATATAATCATAATAATAATATGTTTATTTTAACATAATCAAAATGTTTTTTTTTTTTTTTCAGTGGCTGGCATGTGTAAAATTGAAGATGACATAATAGCCTGTAGTGTTCAAACAGACTTAAAAAATCTCTATGAGAAAATGGGCGATGGAGCATGTGCCCTGAAAAACTACAAGAAAGCTGTAGAGTATTATAAAAAGATGTTAGAAGCAGCTGAAAGAAATGGTGCAAGCGAGAAAGAATTAGGAGAGTGCTATTTTAGTTTAGGTAATTTTAACATGGTAATTTTTCTTTTTAAAAACCTACAGATTTTTTTATAAATTATTAGGGGAAACATATAAAGATATTGGCAATTTTCAAGAAGCTGAAATTTATTATGAAAAGGAATATGCCTTGTGTAAAAATAACTTCAAGGAGAGTTTAAATACAATTTGTAAAATAGCGGACCTTAAAGAAATAGCTAACAATAAAATTGATCAAATTAGGAGTGTATATGAAAGACTATTGTCTCTTTGTAGAGAAAATCGAAATTTGAAAGAAGAAAGAAGAATAGTTTTGAGGTATGTAATACATTTTTGTTTTTATAAACCGAATTCGCTAATTTGTTTGTTTGGAATGATAATGTCCCCTTTGTAGAGTAATATACGTAACAATTACTGTGTGTTGGAGATTAATTGATTTTTTTCCAAAATGTGTTTCCTAGACCTTTTTTACCCAAAACGAGAATTAGTTCTTTTTGCACTTCTTTGCTTTGCCTAATATACTTCTCCATTGTATTTTAGATATATGGACCTTTTAAAAAGAAATAAATGCTTCGAGGATGTTTTTGGCTTAGAAGAACGATTGAAAGAATTAGATGGGCAAATAGGTGAAAATAAGGATGATAGTAGCTCATCATCTGACGAATGTGAGGATTCTGAAAAAATTCATATTGGAAATGATATTGTGCTTAGTGATATTACTGGTAGGTTAAAAAAAATTGTTTACTCAATTTTTTTTCAAAAGTTTCAAGTGAGAAAATTATCTAGAAAAACTCAATAACTTAGGTATTCTAAATTGTGAATACTAGTCGCTTCATAGCTGGTAACTAGTTGATAAAATAGGAGGGTTTGTTCATTTATTGATCTTAGGGGATTTTATCATTAAATCTAAAAACCTAGTTACAATGAAAAAACCGAGGAAAAAACAATCCTCTGACTCTAAATAAAGAAAAAGGCTTTGTAGAGGCGTGTATGAGCTCACAGCAATATGATAAAAGTAAAAAAGATTTCATGATATGTGCATACAATAAATAATAATAATAATAATAATAAAAATATTTATTGCGTAATAAAATAAAATACAAAATACATTATTACACAAGCGGCTAACATTCGCTCAAGCGTTCTTCCATGTTGCCTTAACATAATATATAGCAAAGCTATACACACTACACAGCTTTCAAAACTCATCAACAAAAGTACATTAGGGGTTCATAAAATTATTACAACATTTCAAGTAATAAAATATCTTTCAAATATAATTTTAAAGCGCCCTTAGAAACATTGGCTAATTTAAAATATAAGGGGGAGTAAAGTAGGCTTATTGCTCTATAGGAGAAACAATTTTCAAATTTAGTAGTTCTGTGCTGTGGAATAGCAAATCTAACAATATTTCTTAAATCTAGACCATGCAAATCCAAACGGAGATCAAAGTAACTGTAAAGGTACCTTGGGAGCCCATTTTTGAAGATTTTTTGAACAAATAATGCAAAGTGCAACTTGACCCGGAGGTTGTATTTCAAAATCTTATTATTTATATATATTGGAGTTATGTGGTCATATTTGTTGATACAATAAGTAAATCGCAAACAAGAGTTTTGAGTTTTTTGAATTTTGGTTTTATATTCATTTGTCAGGTAATAATAATAAACCACATTACAATAGTCTATTTGAGATAGCAATAGAGAATCTACTAGTTTCGCTTTGGTTTCACTTTGCAGAATATACTTGAAACTATACAGTTGTTTAAGTTTAATCATAATAGATGTTATTTTTTTTTCCACATGTAATTCAAAATTTAAATTACTATCAAAATAAACTCCCAAGTTTCTTGCACAATCCTCAAGCGGAATTTCAACACTATTGAAGTGTAATGTTGTAAAGTTGCAAGTGAAAAAGTGATTCCTAGCCGTTTTTGTTCCTATAATTAAATAAAGACATTTTTTAACATTTAATAGCAACCCATTATTCAACGACCACTTCCAAACACTATTCAAATCCTGATTTACCCTTTCCATAAATACACTTCTTATACTAGGAAATTGTGACAATAGCTATTGGGTTCCAGAAAATTAATGTTCCTTCCTCCTTTTAGTTTATAAGCTTGTATCACTTAATAAATGTTTTGTTAAATTTAGATAATTCTGAAGAATCTGACAATGAAGTACCCGCACTAGGAGACATTCAATCAAGCAAGCGTCGAAAGCAAAACGCAGTAGCATTCAAGAAAAATGAAAAGGGTGAATCGCCACTGCATGTGGCTTGTATCAAGAATAGTAAAAAAATGGTATTTATTCAATTTAATATACATCCATCATTTGATTTGATTAACTTTCCAGGTTATACATTGGCTAGGTTTGAAACATCCGGTTAATGTAAGAGATAATGCTGGTTGGTCACCTTTACATGAAGCTGCCCTCCATGCCTGTCCTGAAATTGTGCAGCTGCTTTTGGATGCAGGCGCTTCTATTAATGATAGGGGAGGCCCAGAATGCTTTGGTACAAAAACTTTTTTTTGATTAAATTTTCAATTAAACTAAACTATATTCTTTTGTAAATTTTGAGAATTTTTTGTGTGTATGGATTTTTATTTTGACTCTCCTTGAGTGCTAACACACACATTCTTTTTTTAGGCGTCACACCTCTCCATGACGCAGCAGGCGCTGGCAATTTGGAAGTAGTGGAACTTTTGTTAGACAGAGGTGCAGCTGCTGTAGCGAAGACTGATGATGGTAATACACCTCTATATGAATTGAAAAAATGGTGAGTAACGATTTACTGATTTCAAGATGTGAGCAACTTGTCAACTTGGCGTCTGGAAATGGCAATTACAATTTCCATGTTTGTCATTTTATCTTTATAAAAATAGGAAAAGGTTTTTGTGGCTCGAAATATATAATGTATGTAGCTGTTTTTATTATTGGGTCACGGCCAAATAAAAAGAAAAACACTTTTTTTCTGATATAAAAGCTTTCACTATAATATACTTTAGAGCTTCTTCAGTTATATAGAAGTTGAGCTCTAATACATTATAGATGTTTTTAAAAATGCGGAGAAACATATTTATTTTGAAAAATTTTGACAGAATGATTGAAAGAAAAAAAAAAGAAAAAAATTCAATAATTCTGTCAAATTCTTTTAAAATGAATATGTTTCTCCGCATTTTTAAAAACGTCTTATAAAATGTCAAAATGAGACAGGCAGGGTGATCTTTGGGTGTAATTGCGATCATTTTTTTGTAGGTATGACAGAACTAACAAAAATTGTGAAGGGCAAAGACTACATCTCTATAATAGGTTAGTTGAAAGATTAGAACAGGCTTTAGAAAGAGCGGGACAAAATGATGTCAAAGCGGATAAGTCTAATTTGAGTAATAAGGAAAATGTTAGTAAAAATAGTCAAAATGCGAGAAAATTACGTAGAAACATACCTTATGAATCTGAAGAAGGTAAAAAAAATGTGAAAATTGTGCAGTGCATATTTTATTTACATTTATCTACAAAAATTATAGGAACTCTTGAAAGCTTGGGAGGTATATCTCTAACGAGCAGTTCAGATGAGCTATTAGTGGCAAGGCGCAAATTCCCCAATGTCAACTCAAGCAAGGTTTCAGTTAATTCTACAGACACAAATAGACCTGCTCACATTCATCAGGAGGACTTAGTATGTGTTCAAAATGTGAGGAAATCAAGTGCAAGCATACCTTATGATGACGATGATTCTGAAGAAGGTGAAAAAATGTGGAGAGTGTTTAATACATATTTTATTTATCTTCATTTTCAAAACTATAGAAACTCCTGGAAGCTGGGAAAGTATATCTCGAATGAGCGAAAAAAGCAATTCAGATGAGTTCCTAAGGGCAAGGCAGAAATTCAATCAACACAAAATCATAACAAAAAGACCTGCTCACATTCACGAGGACGACTTTGTACATGATCAAAGTGTGAGGAAATCAAGTGTGAGCATACCTTATGATGACGATAACTCTGAGGAAGGTGAAAAAATGTGAAAAGTGCTTAATACATATTATTTCATTTATCTTTATTTACAAAAATATAGAAACTCCTGGGAGCTGGGAAAGTACATCTCGAATGAGCGAAAAAAGCAGTTCAGATGAGTACTGCATGGTAATGCAGCAATTGCGCCATAACAACCCATGCGAAATTCGAAAGCGTTCTCCTGTCAACAAGCCATCAGTTGCATCAAAAAGACCTCACATTTATGAGGATGACTTTGGATGTGAGGACAAGTGGCTTGAAAATGATATAAGACCCAGCAAAACTAAAAAAAGAAAAATTAATTCTAATGATTTGATTTTGAATCGAGGTTGTTTGAACAAATCACCTATGAAGACTGGAATAAATACAATTATAGACGGTAAGAAATAGAAAAGTGATGCATAATTGTAAAAATTTATAAAAATAAGTATTTTTTATGTTCTCAAATTAATGCAAATATCATAAACTAGGTGTAAGTTGAAATTACTTCCTATTTTGAGTCTAACAGAAATAAATTTTCTCTAGGGGACCAAGATATAACTGCTTATCAAATTCATGACCTACCCGAGTTTGATGCAAACATCTTTGAATCAACAACGAGACATAGAAGAGACTCTGCTGGCAGTAATGATAGCGACAGATCATCATTGTCTTTAAGACGGACACAAGCTACTTTATTGGATTCTGGTTTTAGTTGTGAAAGAAACCACAATGCCAATAGCACTAAACTAAAATTGAAGCGATCTAGTAGTGGAAATATTTCCCGGTGAGAACAAAATAAAACTCTTAGTATTCAAATAAAATAAAGGCGATAAATGTGAAAACGAAACCTTAGCTTCCAAATTTGGCATTATAAAAATATTATATTCGCCAAGCTGTTACTTGATGAAAATTCATTATACTTTATGAAAAGAGAATACTGATCCACATGGAGATAATAGGTACATAAAGGATGTAATAATAAAATATAGTCTTTTCATAGAGTAGAAAAATATTTCTATAGTTCTCTACTTCACCTAAAAAAAAAATACAATTAAAAGAAAAACAAATTTAGAGTGGAAAGAATGTCATTAATTACAGATATCAAAATATAAAAACTGATTTGTGTAGTACAAATAAAATTTATTTCCCTGATGCTTTTATTAATTCTACGTTTTTCTCTATTGTTAGTTCCCTACAACCAAAAATCAGGAATTATGCAATTGTTGAAGCTGATTCTACCTCTATTTCAAGATCCCCTGTTAAACAATCTGAAGTCGCTCAAGAACCTATGGACTCAATGCTTTATGTGGATGTGGAAATTGAAGGAAAAGCATTCAGGATACCTGTTTTGATGTCAGAAACAAAAACTAAGACCATTAAGTGGCTCTCGGAACAAGCAGCGCATAGATATGAAAGGTAAGTAATTATCAAACAGGGCTTATTAATTACTAAAAATTGAAAATGTTCAGTAAACAGTTCATGAGACCGATTTTGGAGTTGGAAACAGTCACCGGTGTGATTTTGGGTGATTGCGACCTTGTAAGTCTGCTTTTTCCCTTGGGAAGTATGCAAGCCGAAAGAGTAGTGGGAAAAGTAATTGAATGGAATTTACCATCTCTTCTAGAAAAATACCGGGCGATTTGTAGTAGTATGAGTGCTGGTAAGTTTCAATCAAACTTGTTAATTTAATGTTGGTATGCCAATGTGCAAATTCAATAAAATCTAATTAACATCATTAAAATAAGTGAATGTGAGAATAATCTTCTAAATCTAAATAAATTTTATATAAAACAAAAAAGCGTAACTTTTCAGAAAACTAAATCACTATACTGATCAACTTACTGTCCAGTTTGAAAACTTGTTTTGTCATTGAGGCTGCTTATTATCGTTTCAACTCTTTTGTAATGGACTAGACGATTATCTTCTAAAAATCTGTGATAAACATCAATCCTTAATTTCTTAGATGTATGAGTAGTACAACATGGGTTTAAGGAACATCTCTGTTATTTAGAGGACTGAGACTTTTTTTCTTTAAATAAACCTGTACCCAACTCCTTTAATTAGACAGAGTCAATTATTAGTATCGGTGTTTTTTTGCTATTCTCAAAGAATAAGTACAATCAGTAATTTTTTTTTTCAGACCCAAATGAAGATGTTTGCAGTTTAATCCAAAATGTTTCCATCAATTTGAATATATCAGATCGTGCCATGCCATCCCATAATCTAAATCCCCTATTGAAGTCAATCAATAACCAAAAATGTTTGACAAAAATTAATTTATCTGGTAACTCTATGAGCGCATACACCATGACTTTACTATGCTCCAGCATAATCACTTTGCCAGAACTGCAAAGCTTAAATCTAAGTTGTACCAGTTTGCTGAAACCTTATTTGAATCATTTGGCTAGTACCATCTCTACTCATAGTGCCTTATTCAAGAAAATGGTGAATTTAGATCTTAGTGATAATATAATGCTGCAAGATGATTGCTTCGATGATATAATTGTTATTAGCAATGCCCTATTACAACTGCAGAGCTTAAACTTGAGTAATATAGGTTTGAAAAACTTACCTTCCAATAGTAATATGCTATCTTTAAAATGTCTAGAAAATTTAGATCTGAGTTACAATAAACTAAGCGATAATGATCTAATGAAAGTGTTAAGCTCGCTAGATGCCAGCCTAATTAAAATATTAAACATATCAAGAAATAAGGGACAAAACATATTAAGGAGGATTTTAGATTTATTCGAGAATGAATCAAATGTTTTCATGAAGGAGATTGGCTTGGAAATGTGTGGAATCAACGATTCAGATCTGTATGAGCTCTTGAGGTATGTGAGGTGTCTAGTATAAACCGTTCTTATTTCACAACAGTTTTTGATAATTTAAACGTACCTACTTGAATATTTTAATTTTGTCAAAAAAAAACTAAGACACATTCAAAAATCGTAAAACTTGGCTTAAAAGTAAAAAAAATATTCCTAGAAAACAGAAGGTTTGGACAACTATGGCTAAGCATTTATGCCAGATAATTTTATTGTGTGTACATGCTTTCCATACGAACTTAATATTTAAGAATTGAAAAAAAAAATAATTCAAGATTTTTTTTCAGAACGGCAAGAAATATCACACACATAAACCTCTCCCACAATTCAGATTTAACCTCAATATCTTTAAGGAGACTTCTGGAACATGGAAATTTGAGTTGCATCAATGTTGTGTCTTGTGATAATATTTGGGACTATTTTGATGCTGAGCAACATGGCTGGAATATTGCAATGCAGGAAACAGAAGAAAAAGCTCAGTTCAAAGTTTCCGGAAAAAATGACCTATTTTTGAACAGCCTGGTAGAAATGTTTAGAACAAAGTTTAAACATTTGGAAACTGTGAAGTCAGGAAGTGATTTATTAGTTAAAGTTCATTTTAGCCGAAATTGAAAGTGGTTATTGAAAAATATTTAATTGTTTTTTCTTACATTGGGACTAGATTCAATTTATCAGTATTTAATTTTTTAAACCAAGGATTATAAATTGTTAGAAATATGTTCAATTGAAAAATAAAAACCAATCCAATTAGATCGCGATTTTAGTACTCATCTACCCTGTTTGTAATGATTTATGTAACATATTGAACTTCTATAAATGATTCGATAAATAAAAAAGGGAGTAAATAAATTTGAATTGGAGTAATCTAAGGGACTTCTAAGAATGTTTATTGGTGATTGTTTGAAGAAAAGGATGTTAACAATGGGCATATTTGTGAAAACTCTTCATAACACAGAAAATGTTACCAAAAGAAAAAAATTAAGTAGTCAACAATAATTGTTTGTTTTTTTGAAATGGTTGTCGTTGTTTATTGTTGTTTTTATTGGATTTCTTAAACTTTTATTCACTTCTTTTAAGGGAATAAAGTAATCGTATGAGCTTGACAATATGTTAATGCTCTGACTCAGAAGTGTAGTGTTTGTGAACATTCACTTACTTTGTTTGTGTGAAAAAATAGTACCCGCTCTTGTTGTGTTACAAACAATTCTTATTTAAATCTAATGTATAACTTGCTAAAACTTTTATTAGTCAATTGAGGATAGCCTCTTTTGGGGAAAGAAATTTTGGTTTCACTGTAAAAACCAACATAAGGGTAAGTTTGATGCTCGAGGCACAGCAAAAAAGAGTGCAATTCCCATTGTTTTTTTTTGAATTTTTGTTCATTTCCAGGCTTATATCGGTCAAGGAAGTTTTTTTTTTTTTTTCAAAAACCTCAGATATAACCGACGTGTTGCCGTGTTGGCTGACGAGACGACCTGACCTGGATGACTTGATTTTGATTACGCTCATCTTTTTCCGCCAATTTTGTAATTAGTGCTGTAAAATGCAGCCACTTTTGAGTACTCGTAACATAACTATTCATTACTTTTTGATTCGGTACTCTTTACTTCGAATCCGTTAGGTACTTGAGTATGCATTCGTCTCGTGTGTAACTATCAAATGCTTTGGACATGCCAGAAGGATAAGGATAGTCGAGCTCTTTTGATAAAATACTAAAGGGGGCGAAAGTTGGGATAGATCTGAGTTATTCTCTTTTTTCTGAAGGGGTATTATCTTGAGTTTTTCTATGCGCCTCTATGGAAAGTGCACGCTAATTAGTAATTGGCTTATAATGTTCAGAAGCGCTGAACCACATTCGGATCGAAATGCCATCTAGACCTAGATTTGATTGACTGTAGAGTTTTGTGTAGTTCATCTAGGTTGGCACAGATGATAAGTTGAATTTGACTCGAACCCTTTCTGACAGTGCATAAAATGTGTTGGGCAGCTCATTATCTGAATGTACCGTCAAACGGGGTTAAGTGAATCATATTTTTAAGCTCTATTCGGTGTTCGCATGATATTCGTACGTAAGTTTTATTTACTGATGCTGGTGAGGTGGTATGCCGACGGTCTCGTAAACATGTGAACCAAGATAAACGTATTTTAAATGCACGTTTTTTTGTGATATGGGTAAAAGTCGAAAAGGTTTAGTTGTATAGGAGCAAAGGGGTATGTTTTCTGGGCATATGAGTAATTAAAAGTGTAACCAATAAGACATGTAGGCAACATATTCCATTCCCGAAGGTTTTTTTGATTTTACTTAGGTAGGTATATGGTCACCTAAATAATGATGTTTTGAACCTGAAATGAGCAGGGGGAAAAAGGAATCAGCTGCAAAATAAAACAAAAATAAACAAGAATGAACCGGAGAGTAAATTGAAATTAATTTTTATCGGGAATTAGAAATGAATGTGTTTGAGAGGCTACAGCAAAAATTAGGTGCCCCCATTTCTTCCCCATCCTAAATAATTGTTATAGAGCTAAATTTTCTTTAAAATGCCTAGAATCACAAAAAAAACTTAGGGCAATGCTCAGAAGCTTCTGGAGCAATATGAAGTGCCGTTTAGAACCATTCACGGACGATTTCATCAAATCCACTCTCTGGAATATGGTCGCCTCGCCAACCTGAACCTGTGCTAAATGATGAACAATGAAGGACTATCTTGAAATTTGCTTCTGATATGCTCACGGTGGGGGTTTCCTCAAAAATCAAATGATATATCAGGGGAATTTTGCAACAATATTTAGCAAGTTGGGACTGACTCAAAAGATTCGAAGAAAATTTTCAAGGACGCGACTGGTTTAAAACATTTATAAAACGACATTTCATTTCGTTGTTAAATAAGCTGAGAATACCAAGCGGATCTGAGCTAAAGCTATGAAATGATGCAGTTAAATTTCCAGAACCTGGCGTAAAACTTCTTTAAACCTTACGAATTGATTCGCTTTACGCACTATTAGTATCAGTCTAAAATGAATAGATCGCAAATGTGGTGGGTAAAGTGAAACAACTTTTGTCCCAAAAAAGGGGGGGTTCCCACTTAGTACTCGAAAAGAAAAGGGCCAATATTTTGTTGAATCCTTTGGAAAGGGTGCTAGAATAGACATTATTTTTTGAATAGGTATTTTTTGTTTGGATAGTGAAAAAAATACCAACAAAAAACCGCAATTACCTTAACCCCATTTGACGGAATATCATTTGCACATATTATATTAAAATATTTATCAACCTCATCTGGATTCAAATCAACCGATACTCTAGCGGTCTCTCGCCTGCCGCGGCGAAATTCTCTTGTTCGTTCTCAGTTTAGAGTACCTACTCCAGTAACTACATTAAAAATATTTTTGTACTCGTTACTTAGAATCCGGAGTAAGTAACGAGTACTCGAATAGATACTTTTTTACAGCACTATTGTGTTTGTGGTTATGTTATGGTGTTCTGTAGCGGAAGTGCTCTCTATCCAGTCTCTTTTATTACAAACAAATGACAAAATAAGACCGTCACAAGACACAAGTTAAACACTTATTACAAGAAGGTTCCAGTTCGAGAGTGAGAGTGTCACATTCCAGAGGAACTGTAAATCAGTAAATCCAGAGTATGTTACTCTGATAATTCAGGCGCGGCAAATTAGCTGCTTCCCAGTTATGCAAAGTTTGGTATATCAAATAAATTATCTATTCAACTTCGAATTTCCAAATTCAACGACTGATCTAATGAGGTTGCCTCACCTGACAAATTAACATAAAATCAAAAATTTAGTAAAATCAGAGTCACTCACTTTCCAGTAGGTATTTAGGTTGTACCGTTATGTCCGCTTAGGAACGCTGCAGCAGTACTGAACGCTTACAGTATTTATTTTAAACCTAAATTTTTAGTATTAACCATGGCAAAAGTATTTATTGTATCTGGCTGTAGAACTCCTATAGGTAATTGTTATTTAATTTATTTATTATAAATTATAATTTAATACAATGTATATTGCCTTTATAGGTAATTTTCAAGGCCAGTTTGAAAAATATCCAGCTACCGAACTAGGTACTATTGCTGTAAGTGAGGCTATCAGAAGAGCTAATTTGAAACCTGAAGATGTTAATCAATGTATTATGGGACAGGTACAGTAAATAAAATTGTTAATTGTTTTTTTTTTCATCACTGGGTGATTTATCAGGTACTTACAGCTGGACAAGGGCAAAACTGTGCAAGACAAACATCCATTAATGCAAATATACCTAATTTATCACCTGCATATACCATTAATATGTTATGTGGATCTGGGTTGAAGTAAGTATACTTACTACTTTCAATATATTTATGTTTTTTCCATATTATACTCTATATAAGTAACTCACAATATTTTGGACAATCTTTCAATGCCATTTGATGGTAATTTTAGCCAGTGTTTTGGTATCAGTTTACCTTGGAGCTTAAATTACTTGGTACATTCTCATTAGGTACTGCTAGCACTGAGGAACAGGATTGCTACTGAAATGTTGTCTTAAATCCACTTTATTGAGAGATTATCCAAAAAGCTTGTGAGTTTTCCTTTCAAAAAATATTGCAGAATGTGTGATTTTTTCATATAAAATACAATAAAATAACTAGGTACAAATTTATTGTCATTTTTAGTGAGGCTGTAAATTATTCAATAGATTTATCTTTCTTGCAAATCATTTTACGTATAGCAACAAAAACTATAATAACTGAATACGTATAATGCAAATTTTCAAAATCATTAATATTAATAAACCTCAAGTAAATCAGTTTTGTGACTATTCTGAAAAAGGTTTATCTTTTATTCCAATCTCCAATGTGCAGTCAATATTTAAATGGTTATGGAAAAAATATCTCCACTTTTTGGGGAAGGTAAATCAAGTCAGGATTACACTTGGTACCTAATTTATTATTATTACATATTAAAGTTTTATATTTATTTTGTTAGCTACTTAAGTAGGTATCTTCATCCTCTGAGCACAAAAATGAACATATTGTTATCCAGTTTAAGTTTTTGAAGTTAGTGAATAACTCCATTATTTTTTCACTAATTAGATAGCTACAGATTTCTCAAACTCAATAAATTTCATACAATAATTGAAGCAATTTTGATTTTTAAATGCACACATTTTTAAGCAAATAAAATTTTATAGTGTGACTCAAAAATGTAATGTTTAAGTACTTTACAGTTAACTAGTTTCTGAGCCATAATATTCTAGGAAAGTTAAGTTACTTAACTTTAAAATTGTCATACTTCCAATAGGTCACACTATCATTGTCTCAAAGTTTAGGAGTTCTTGTCAACCAAACCTTTCAGAATAGTTTTTTTGCCTTTTTAAAATAAAAAAAGTAATACCCGAGGTAATACCTATGTATTCCGTTTTTCCTTCTCAGCTTTTAAGCTGAAAATGCATTTCAAAATTTGTGTTAATAAAACCTAACTATGTTTTCAGATCAGTAGCACTGGGTTTTCAGGCAATACGAAATGAAGACTGCAATATTCTAGTAGCAGGAGGTCAAGAAAGCATGACAAGAGCCCACCATTCAACTTATTTAAGAGGTGCTAAATTGGGAGCACTTAATTTGAGTGATACTGTTTTGAATGACGGATTAACAGATTTTTTTAATAACATCCATATGGGAAATACTGCAGAGCATTTGGCTAAGACATACAATGTTTCAAGACAATTACAAGATGAGTTTGCTTTAAATTCGCAAATTAAAGTAACAGAAGCCATTAAAAATGGATATTTTGATAAAGAAATTGTTGGTGTGCCTGAAAAAAGAACCAAAGAACTGATTATTAAAGATGAATTTCCAAAAACAGATAGTTCTCTAGAAAAATTGAGCAAATTAAGACCTGCTTTCGATTCGGTAAAATCTAATATTTAATATTAACTCATAAAATTGTTTGTACTTTATTCAGAAAGGTACAGTAACAGCAGGAAATGCTTCAGGTATCAATGATGGAGCTGCAGCAGTAGTTTTAGCAAATGTAGAAGAAGTTAAACAGAGGAATTTAAATCCCTTGGCTGAAATTATTGCTTTTGCTGAAGTTGGTATTGATCCATTATGTATGGGACTTGGGCCGATTCAAGCAATAACAAAACTAGTAAGTTATTCGTTATTCCATTCCCATGTTTTTTTTAAATATCTACCTATATTTTTTTAGCTTCAAAAAACTGGATGGACACAAGAAGAAGTCGACTTATATGAATTGAATGAAGCTTTTGCGGTACAGAGTCTAATTTGTATGAAGGAACTTGGACTAGACCCAAGCAAAGTTAACGTAACAGGGGGCGCAATTGCCCTAGGGCATCCAATTGGAGCTTCAGGAACTAGATGTTTAGTGACTCTAATTTATAATTTAATACGTTTGGGAAAACGTAAAGGAGTTGTGGCTTTATGCATTGGTGGAGGCATGGGAATTGCAATGGCAGTTGAATTGTGCTGATAAATTTATTTATTTTATGGTTTGGTATTCAAGTACTTATCAGCTATAATTTTAATTTTTGATGTGCCTACCATTTTACATTTACAACAGATATTCCCTGTCTATGATACACAAGTTAAATTAATTTAAAATTATTGTTCTTGATTCTATTGAATTGTTGTCTTTTTCGCAAAGTTTATTATTATTGTTATTGCTTAATTGGGAACGGTTTGAAATATAGTTTACAAATAAAATTGACGTTTAATTTTGAATTAAGGTTCAAACTAAACAGTTATAACAGTGTAGGGAGGTCAGAAGATGAGAAAAAATGTATTATTTTTATTATTATTATTATTATTTTTCTTATTTTTAGTCTGACACTAGCCGGAAAGTCCGATAAAAACTGCCACATAACAAATAACAATCAAACTTAATGATGTACAAATTCGCGATTCACATGTGTGAGGTCTCTATCCAGTCTGTTTTTGAAAGTGTTCAAGGATGGGGCATCCACAGTCTCTTGGCTGAGTGCGTTCCATATACATATACCACCCAGTTGGTAAGGAAGTTCCGTCTAGCAAGTTTTGCGCATTTTTCTTTTGAGGGTTTTTTAAAGTGTCCTCTAAGCATCGTTTCGCCTCTCGTTACGGAAATATCCAGTTGGACGCTATAGTATCCAGACATGATTTTGTGGGTCTTTTTTAAGTCACCTCTTTGCCGGCATTCTCTTAGAGTAGGTATTTTTCCCGGAGCATCGAATTTCGGACGGAAGTTCCTTCAGTTCGGTTGGTATTCGTGTTACACGGCGCTGTACGCGCTCCAGCAGTTCAATGTCCTTAAAATAGTATGGGTTCAACTTTTTAAAATCTTGGAACAAGGTGATATTCGAGATTTTCAATATGCAAAATTTATTTTTTCTACAACTGTTAAAAAATGATGATATTCGCACACTCATGACAGTTTGCGAAGTGACACTTTTTTTCCCAAATATTGATTTTTTAACGTTCCCATGACGCCGTGTGCGAACTAGCTATTTCGCACACTAGTGCGCGAGTTTGATTGTTAGTTCGCACACTGGTGTCATGGTGACACATACCTGTCAGGAAACCAAAAATAATTAAAATTCACCGACCTTTGATTGAAAATGCAATTTTGCCTTCGAATGATCGATATTTAAATGCAGCTGTAGAAAAAATATTGTTTGCAACTCGGGCGCGAAATACTTTAGTGATCTCGACTATTCTCGATCACCAAAGTAGCATTTCGCGCACTAGATACAAAAATAACTAATTTATACCTCTAGACAAGGCAACAACGTCTGCATTTGCAAACATGGATTTTCCTAAGGAGATTAACTATTTTTTGTTGGCTTCCTAACTCTATATTTCGCAGGGGTCAGGTGCCCAAATCACAATAAACAGAATTATTCCAGTTTCACATGGCGCCACTAAAATATGATTCTAATTCTAGAAACAATGACTTAAAAGGTAGAGTTCACTTACTTGAGTCCAAGATAGATGATTACAAGCAAAAAGAAAAGGTTAACATTATTCTAGTTGGAGTTCCGAAGCAAAGCAATATTGATACAAGTACAGCAATATTGAAAATTTGTACAACTATGCAGTTAGCCTTTAGTAAGAACGAAATCCAGGATTGCCACAAATTTGGCAAAGAAGAAGATGGTCCAATTTTGGTAAAATTTAGTAACCATGACAAGACCCAAGACCCAAACTTAATAGCTAGTGAGTTCAATTATCATTTTACGGGTATTGGAGAAAAGTTGGCCGAGAAAATTAAATTAAATCAAGTTCACGATTGCTTAAGACAACCAACTTCTAGCCTCCAAACAGTCCAAACGTTCTTTCTTACTTCTGTGACAAGGAGTGAAATAATACAGTAAATTAAAACTTTAAAAAATAATGTTCAGGGTGAAGAGGATGGGATCACTTCGGAAATCTTGAAAGCAAATCATGGTCATCTTTTAGAGCCTCTAATTTACATCATTAATAGCATCTTATGTACGGGTGTTTACCCAGCAACTCTCAAAAAGGCTATAGTTGTGCCCGTTGATAAGCAGGGTAATAAAAAATTATTATCAAACTACCGGCCCATAGCCTTCATAAGCACAGTTAGCAAGCTAGTCGAAAAATGTATGAAATTTAAGCTAACCAACTTTCTCATGAAACATGATACTTTATCAAAAAATCAATTTGCTTTTAGGGAGGGGATTAGTACAGAGGATGCTTTGTGCAAAGTTACAGAACATGTTCTGGGCCAGCTTGACAGGGGCAAGAAGGTTATTGGGATATTTCTGGATTTAGCCAAGGCGTTTGATACTGTGGCACACCCAGTCCTACTTGAGAGACTAAATAACATTGGAGTTCGAGGTATAGCAAATTACTTATTAAAATCGTATCTAACAGGGAGAACACCAGCGAGTGAAAATTGGTGACACATTTCTTTTTACAGTTCATATAAATGAAATATTACCAGTGATTGATGGGGCCGTATTTTCTGCTTTACAGATGACACTGCCGTCATAGTGAGTGGTGATAACTGCAAACAACTATTGAAAAAAGCAGAAAATTCTATTCCGAAATTGAAAAACTGGTTGAACCATAGTTATTATTGTCGCTTAATGTAGATAAAACGAAATGTATTGCCTTCGGACTGACCCAGAGGAATTTACCCAGTTTCCAACATCTAAAAATTTATGACCCAAGTTGTAAATTGGGACAATGTAATTGTAAACATAGGATTGAACGTAAAGCATTTTTGAGGTATTTGGGGGTTTTCATTGATGAAAATATTAACTGGAAAAAACAAGTCGAATACTGGTCTATTCTCACAAGAGTCTCTGACAGTTCGCAAACTGTCAGAAACAATTGCTCAACTAAGTTACCGATTTATCTTGGAACGACGGTATTGAAAACATATATGGGCGATGCTTTCTGATAGTTGGAAAACTGTCTAAGACACTTGTGAGAACAGACCTTAAGTAACAATTAAATAAGATAAGAAAACTGATTCACAAATTTTATGAATTAAGAAAAATCCATTGTGCAACCAATAAACTCGTAGGAGAAAGAAAAAAAAAATACCTGGAATTTGTAAAAATATGATTGTAGATGTAATTTCCATTTGCAGCACAGTTGTTGAAGAAATTGAAAACTTGTCGAGGAAACAAAAAAAAACTGGACCAACAAATTGACACTATCGATGTATTCAGTTTTCATCCATATACAAACAACTTTACTGACTTCCAGATGTTTCCTCGTGGCAATTGACTTCAACTTTAACTTTATGAAATATTTTATTCACCTAAAATAATGTTCAAATAAAACACTATGATTTTTTTATATGAAATTATTATTACCATTCTCTGGAAGAATGTCTCAATAACTTATTAAAATGTACAGTTTGCATTGCGATAATAAATCAGGTATTTTAACATTAAGATAACAAATGTAAAGTAAAGACCCAATATCTGTCATCAGGAGCTCCGATGACAGATAAGTCTTATTGTCCTAGCACTTAAGAATGAAACAAATAGGCAGAAATTGAAAATATAAATAACTATATACATTCAATTAAAAAATAAAAACACTTTTTGCACATTCAGAAATGAAATGGATAATTTCATCCATCCAAAAAGGAACAAAAGTGAAGTGAGTCATTCTCCACCAAAGAAAAATTAAATAAAAATCCTGTAGCCAACTCTATTTTGTGGATTATGATTTTTTTGTGATGATTTCGTTTAAATAAAATTGATGTGAGGCAGGTGGAAATGAAGTATGTTCAGAATTTCTGAACTGAAGAAACTTATAAAATCAACCTGTACCTAATTAAAAATATTCCCGAAAGTGCAAAAAAAAATGCTGTAGGTACCACTGGACTAAAGTCCAATTTAATCCCTTGAGGGTAACTCCACTTGCGGGATTAAATGTGTCACTTGAGTCCATTATTGGAACACATGATATACTATTTGTTGAAACATTGTATTGGTAAACTTAGAATTAATAACAAAAAAGCTAACAAACATTGTGGTTGGGAAATAATTTTTACTATGTTATTACAACAGTAACATGTATCACTACATTGTAGCTTCATGAATCTGATGATCTAATAAAATATAAGTGAAAATTAGTTTTACTTGTTCCCAACCTATGGATTTTAATCAATTCAAATGAACATTGTTTTTGAAGCTATGATCTGTTGGAAAACTAGCAACATATTCGAGGCTGGGAACAAAGAATTTTGAATGCTTTTTCATCATATTGTACCAGTTTGTCATACGACCAGAATCTTTGCATTTGAAATATGATCCCCATATGGTAGAACAAAGAAATTGTTCATCAGGATGCCACTTTTCATGACCATAAACACCTTCAGCTTCTAATTCTTCACAAACCGTGACTGTATCACATCCAGCATAAACATGAGGTGCATAAATGTCTTGAATTAAGTTATCCCCAACATATAAAAACTTTGGCTCCACAACCGAGCAGTGGTTTGTTAGAAAATACTTTAAATCAGTCCAGTTGCCATGAGTATAAATTCCTCCAATACGGAGATTATCTAGTTTTACTGGGCCTGTTTCTTGGAAACCATCAAGTCCAATGAAGTCCCTCCTTTCTGTAAAGAATCCAGGTTTTTTGGCAAAACTGATCACAATGTCAAAATAGTCCCTCCAATTTTCACCCAATGTATGACTAGCAGTGTGTGAAGCGAAATCAACATAAGATCCAGTAATTAAAAAAAGCTTTTTTCCACTAGCTTTAAGAGAGGTTAACCAATTTATTAAATGTCCACTACATTTGTAGTAATATTTTTCTGGATGATTTTTTATTTCAGAAAAATACTTGCCCTTTTCATTCTGAAAATGTTCTCTGGTAAACATATTTTGTAAAGCTTCAAGCAAATCTGGCCAGATGTTGTAAAGTTTTATGTCAGAGTTATCTTCATCAATTGAATCTACAGCCCTGGCAAATACTAAACTAGCAATTATATCATAATAATCCAATAATGTGCGCATCTTTTCTGCATAAGGACCGTTCCAAGTGTTCAAGGGGTTTTCTGTGAACAAGTCAGTTGCTTTCCATCTCAGATTAGGATAAAAAAATTTGATTTCACTATGAGACAAAAACTTCGTTCCATGAGTTGCTTGAATGATACTTCCATCCTCGGAGATTCTTAGCAAATTGCCATTTTCATCATCTACAATGAGCCCCTTGATTATAAAATTGTGATCCAATGGTTTTAATAGGTGTTTAGCAGAATACCCTTTGTTGTCAACTAAATAGTTTGCCAATATATTGTACTCCATTTCTATCATAGCACCGACTTTGTATCGAGCTAAAGTGTTATCCAAATCAAAGCCCAGACAATCATAATCAGTGAATCGGAAATACTGGGTATTGGTACTCATTTTAGCTTTTACTTCTCGAGCAGCACTCCTTTGTGTTGGTAAAGATAAAAACCTAACTGGTATCCTTTGTTTTAGTAAATTAAATAACACTGGCACTGGAGGTGATTCACATGTTGCAAATAATTGGGTAATTTTTTTAAATGTAATACGACTACTGGCACTTACTCTAGAGATAAACATATCTCAATGATGGAAATATAGGTCATATAACCTAATTTATATTCTTGGTTTTCGACATAATGGCTTTATCAGTTTCTTTATTTATTATGCTGATAAATATTAAAATTTGATCATTATTTTTGGGCTGATGTATTACTTTTAGCCTTCCAAATAAATAAACAAATACATATTTTGAAAATTATATAATTTTTTCGAATCTTTTCTGTCAGTTACTTCGGGCATTTTTCAGAATTTACCGTACAATAACTAAGAACAACCGTTGTAAAAAAATTCTTTAACGTCATTCGATACCTGGAAACTTTAGACAAATTATGACAAGTATTTTGTTTCTATTTCAAACACTTGAATTTTCTCTATTTAGAGAAATTTAGAAGGAAATGGAAACTCAAGAGCCGGGAATAGGCAAAAAAAAGGAAAAATTGAAAAATGGAGAAAAGAAGTTCAAAAAAAAAATGAGAAAAAATTGGTGGATTAGAGGAAATTCATGTTTTTCTCTATTCCAGGCTCTCGAGTTTTCTCTATTTCGACAAATTCAAGAGCTGGGAATAAACAAAAATTGGAGAATAGAAAAAAAGAATGTAAGAAAATTTGGGAAAAAAAATGTTAGATAGTGGACATTCATGTTTTTTTCTGTTCCGAGTTCTTCTATTTTCTTTATGTCGACAAATTCAAGAGCCTGGAATAAACAAAGAAAGTTAAAATTGAGACGGAAAAATTTGAAAATAGTGAAAAGAAATGAAAGATAAATTCGGAAAAAATTGGTAGTGGAAGTGGATATTCATATTTTTTCTATTCTAGGCTCTTGTGAAATGTTTTTTTCGAGAAATTCAAGAGGACATAGTTGTATTCCTTTCACATCTAGGACGAGCTCTGGAACAGCTCCGGGGCGTTACGCGCTTATTCCTTTCGAAAAGTGTTTGTTGCACCTGAGTACTCAAGCCCGACTCAAACCATTAAATGCATGAAAGCCGGCGAATCTGTTCCTTTCAAATCCGGGTCGACTAACACCGAAGCGAGTAGCTCTAGTGATTCAAACTCTTGAAAGAAATACAACTATTCATGTTTTTTCTATTCCAGGCTCTTAATTTTTTTTTGACAAATTTAAGAGTGGGAATAAACAATAATTGGAGAATAGAGAGAAAAAATAGCAGATAAACTGGACATTCATGTTTTTTTCTGTTCCAAGATCTTGAATTTTCTTTATTGCGACAAATTCAAGAGCCGCCAAGAATGGACGAAAATTGAGAAAGAAATTCAAGAGAAATTGAAAAAAAAATGGAACACAAAGTATTTTGTTTTTATTCCAAGCTCTTGAATTTTCTCTATTTAGAGAAATTTGGAAGAGAATGAAAATTCAAGAGCCGAGCAGAATAGACAAATTGAGACGGAAAAACTAAGTAAAGCCTAGTACTCATAACTGCGAAATTCGCATTTTTTTGACATTGCTTCGACAAATTGACGTTTGATACACGCATAAAACGTCAAATTGTCAACGCAATGTCAAAAAAATGCGAATTTCGTAGTTATGAGTACTAGGCTTGAATAGGAAAGAAATGTGGAAAATTGAATTTATCCTATTTCTGAGTTAATCCAAATTACTCTGAACGAACAACAAATGTTCAGATTGCTCCAGATTTTGCAGAAGAAATAATAAGGCTTGGGAAAGACGAAGTAGGTTTATTTGATTTTTGAATCAGGGGCCGGATTACGAACATCCGATACGTAAAAGTTTCCGAGTCGAAGGCAAACTCGAACCGTAGACGCATCGTAACGAACGAGAAAATTTGATTACGAACACACGAATCGGTTAAATCAGAGCCACAGCTTACTACAACAACAAAGGAGCGAATTTCGCGGTTGACGCGGTTATGAGTACTAGGCTTTATGCCTATGCCTGATTCTCACTTGCGCGAAATTCGCTCTTTTCTTGACATTACTTCAACAATTTGACGTTTTATGCGTGTATCAAACGTCAAATTGTCGAAGCCATGTCAAAAAAGAGCGAATTTCGCGCAAGTGAGAATGAGGCATTACACCGGAGCGAGTAGCTCGAGTGTTTTAAACTCTGAATATAATACAACTATGAGAAACCGTGCATTTTGACCTTTAAAATCGTTGCGTCCAGTGTTATTTGAACATTATTATAATAATTTAGGAAAAAATTGAAAAATTATAGAACTTTTATTTTGAATTCCACCATGGAGATTCGTTTTGAAAAAGACAATAAGGAATGGTACAAAACTTGGAAAGATAAAATATTCAAACAGAAAAAGATTCACCATTTAATTTAAATTTTTGCAAGCTAAGAACGATAATAGAACGAATTACAGATAATATTTAAAAGCCAATTTTACTAACAGCAGTAGTATGAAAAGAAAATCTACCTACTACCTACGTGTAGAGAGGAAATTAGAAAGTTTATGTCATAAAGCACACGGCTTTTATATACTGAATCACCCTTGGCCAAAGCCCAAATATTCCATAATTAATATTGTCTTTGTCAAAAAAACACAAGGTTGTTATAAAATGATTTAATGTTTGCATTTCTAAATATCAGAATATAAAGCGAAACATGGCTGCAATCCTCAGATATTCATAATCATATTCCATAAAAACACTGCAAGTTTCCCATCAATTCCATGCATTCAATGATGAATGATGCATTTACATAGTAAAATGGAACAATAATAAGGATTGCAGCTGACGTCACCTCTAGGGTTGCCAGATTTTAATATCAAAAAATTGGGACAGCGGATAGAAGAAAAGTTCTAAATCCAATGAAATTATTTGTGACTGGTTTGTGATTTCTGTGAGAACAGACTATTAGGTCTGTTTCTGCAGAGTGAATTTCATTGGTTGAAAACAGTCAGAAAACTAGTTTCGACCAATGAAATTCACTCTGACTGGTTTGTCATTTCTGCAGAAACAGACCTATTGTCAAATCCTAAATCACAAACGACAACCCCCGCTACCATTCTCAGAAAGAGAAGGTTTAATATAATAATACTTAGGGCGGGTATTATAAAACTATTTTGAGAGTTAACTTGAAGTTAACTTCTAAAATTACATGTAATTCAAAGAGTTAACTTCAAGTTAACTGTCAAAGCAGTTTTATAATACCCGCCCTTAGCCGTTGAGCGTTGATCAAGGAAAACGCAGCCTAAAAGGGTGTTGTCGGCCGGAAATCGGGATATATTCTCGTACAGGTAAAAATCGGGTCATTGGCATTCAATTCGTAAATCGGGATAGTTCGGAAATATCTCGAAAAATCGGCACTGTCCCGCCTAGCCTAAATCGGGACGTCTGGCAACCTCAAGGATGATACACACTACTACTAGAGGTGAGGATAGCCTATCCTCATAAGGCCTGTGTGGAACAAATCCCCCCCTTCCCCGCCATCCAAGTCACCTGTTGTGACGTAGGCAGCATATTATTTCTCGCCTTGACCTAGGCTGTTTAAACAGCTGACGACTGAGTTATGACGTCAGAAATGGTGACACACCAATATGGCGGCGATTATCAAAAATGAGGCCGATAAGCAATCCTTCATCCTTGTGGCAACCCTATTTCCAGCGAGAGTTTTCGCATTCTACGATTGTACTTGCGGACAGCTGAGCCGTTTTTTCGCGTCCACTTTTTTCAAAACAGGTTTGAAACGGGCAATGGTAAGCAAAGGCAATTTTTCGCGAGGATAACCAGGCGTTTTCTCGCGGGGCGAATGGTGCGAACTACGGTTTAAACCAATTTGTAAATGACGTCATCACTTATGAACGCGAGAAAATGGAAGGTTTGAACCACAGTCTTATGTCAACGGAGAACAAGCCATGAGTCCGGTTCGAACTTTTTTGAACCAGGTTCAATGTGACGTCACTGGTTCAACGCAAGAGTGTACAGGTTCGAACCTAATTGAACCGGGTCGAACCAGTTCCACCGCGAGAAAACAGCTCAAGCATAAATCTTTTGCTGGAATATGTGATGTGTCAATTATGTCATGCTCCCCGAACTCCGCACCATCAAATTCTGGGATACTCGAGGATCAAGAACAGGGATGTGCGTCTACACGTAGACTTTCATTGTCTACTTTACGTGTAGATAATGTAGACAATGTAGACAACAACGTGTCAACAATGTAAAATAATATAATTGACGTTTAATTCTAACCTCACACTTTCCTTTTTTTAAATTATTTTTATTTTATTATTGGTTTTTCTGATATTTTATAATCAGTGAATGCTAATATCGAAGTGATAGTGATATTGTAGTAACTTTTGATATTTTTTTTCGAATTTTTTATAATAAAATATTGTTTACGCCGCATGTAGACAATGTGTAGACAAATGCTCACGTAAACAATTCGAATTGTCTACGCGTAGACAATCAATTGTTTACGTTGACATTGTCTACAGGCACATCACTGATCAAGAACGCTTAATTTCTTGTATGAGAACAGACCAATGAACTATAGCCAAAAACTGGAATGCGCACACATTGCCATATCTGCCAAAAAAATGAAGCCATGAAAGACAGATGCCACAAGGGGGATTAGTTGTATTCCTTTCAAGAGCTTGAAACACTCGTGCTACTCGCTTCGGTGCTTAGTCGCCCCCGATTTGCAGGGAACATATGCGTGGTGCAACAAACACTTTTCGAAAGGAATAAGCGCGTGAAGCCCCGGAGCTGTTCCGGAGCTCCTCCTAAGTGTGAAAGGAATACAACTAATGTTGTTTTTTTCTGTTGCTCGCTGACATATGAAGTTTTCGGAAGTTTTGTCATATTTACCTTCACAGGTTTCATCAATTGGAATACGTGTTGGAAGCAATTTCCGCCATTTAGCATAATGAGTGCGACAAAAACAGATATCCCCTCCGCAGCAGCGGCACTAGGCTTCACGTTCGTCAATATGTGTGAGCATTCCAGTTTTTGGTTATAGTTCATTGGAACAGACCGAAAATTACCGTTTCTACATCTAAAATCGACGAAAAAATTAACTCACTAGCACAGCCTGAATCGCAAGCATTCCATCAAGGTCTGCAGATAGCGTCATCACTTTAAGCTGCTGATAGTGATGTCACTCGCAGACCTAGAATTTGATGGTGAGGCAGTTAGGTGAGTATGACACAATTGACACATCACATAATCCAGCATAATCAGATTATGCTTGATTATCCTCGCCAAAAATTGCCTAATGTCATAAAAGAGCGAATTTCGCTGTGATGAGTACTAGGCTTCAGTCGCCCCCGATTTGAAATGAACAGATGCGTGGTGCAACAAACACTTTTCGAAAGGAATAGGCGCGTACGCCCCGGAGCTCCTCCTAGGTGTGAGAGGAATACAATTAACCGTGCGTTCGGTATTTTGATCCGAGTTCTCCGAGCTTGAATTTACCGTTCGTTTATTTAAAAAGTGTACTCGGTGCAGGCTCATTCGCGTTCGTTTATTAAAATTTCAAGCGCTTTGATACAGCGTTTAACTGCTCTGTGCGCTAGCTGGTCACGTGATTACTGCTCCGCTGAGCACGCTCTGCTCTTTGAGCAAAATACCGAAAGCAAGGTTGATAGCGAGTCACTTCCGGGTTGGTTTTATCTCAAAGTAAGAGTGTCCAGTTGCTATGTTCACCCTGGAGTTATGCTTAGCCCGGGGGTGACTTGCTATTGAGAAACCGGCCCCGAAAGGAACAATCCGGTCGAGTACTGCGACTGACGTCAGTCGCAGTACTCGATGTTTGATATTTTGGCGAACGTATGTTTTATGGCCATGGGCCCGACTCGTTTATCTTATATCTAGGGTGGATGCTCGCATGTATGTACGAATATATTTTATCAAAAACCATAAGTTGTATTCCTTTCAAGAGTTTGAAACACTAGATCTACTCACTCATCCGGTATTAGTCGACCTCGATTTGAAAGAAACAGATGCGCTGGCTTTCGTGCATTTAAATGGTTTGATTCGAGCACTCACCTCACGTGCAACAAACACTTTTCGAAAGGAATAAACGCGTAACGCCCCAGAGCTGTTCCGGAACTCTTTCTAGGTGTGAAGGAATACAAGTATAGATAAAAACACCAGAAAAACAAAACGCTGCAAAACGCACCCCAATACCGAATGGCATATGGTATAACAAGAAAAACAAGAACAAAACTAAAACAAGTATATATGCAAGAAGGACAAAAAAAAATTCTGTCATTGTCTCGCTATTCCGAAAAACAGATGGAGGATTCGATTCGTATCGGACGTTCGTAATCGGGCCCCAGATATGAATCAAAACTGCGGTGTCGGCAAATCCTTGGAATTTTCAAGAACAGAATCGTTGGCGCCAGCAGTGGAGTGGAGTGCTTAAGCCCGAATCAAACCATTTATTTATTTATTTATTCATTGACGAGCAAAGCCCATTTTTTACAATAGATAATTGATAAACGAATGCATACAATAATATAATACTTATTTAAAAAAAAAAATACATAAAATATATCACATGTACAATACATTACTGCTAAAGCACAATCTACAAGCTACAATTAGTTTACATTCAGATCATAGTTGCCTTCAAATCCCTATAAAAACTGAAGGAGGAATGCACGAAAGCCAGCGCATCTGTTTCTCACTAATCGGGATCCACTAACACCGGAGCGAGTAGTTCTAGTGTTCTAAACTCTTGAAAGAAATACAACTATTTATGATGACGACAAATTAATATAAGCCGCGTTCCAGCTGACGCTTTTGAGCACGCAATCGAGCTTTTGCGCGCGCAAATGTTTCGAGCGCGTGTTCGTGTTCCAGCCGTACTGCGCTTCGAGAGTTGCTAACTTTTGCGTTTCTTACACAGAACACTATCCTGCACCGTCCTTAAAGCACACAGCTGGAAAGCGGCTATAGTTGTATTCCTTTCAGGAGTTTAGAACACTAGAGCTACTCGCTCCGGTGTTAGTCGACCCCGATTTGAAAGGAACAGATGCGCTGGCTTTCGTGCATTTAATGGTTGAGTTCGGTCTTCAGGAGCAAGAAACACTTTTTGAAAGAAATAAGCGCGTAACGCCCTAGAGCTGTTCTGCAGCTTCTCCTAGGTGTGAAAGGAATACAACTATTTAACATACATGGTGCCCAGTGTATTATTAGCTTTGCTCGAGGTCCGCGGCTCACATTCCGGAACATTTCCGAACCAATTCAATTTAATTATGAATCAGTTCAAGATTTTATTTTACCGCGAATGGTTTTGGAACAGAAAACTCGGATCTCTCTGCCACCCAATTGACTGTGATATAGCCGCATAAAACTTTAATCTCAAATCGTCCTTAGAACCAGTAAGATTGGTTCGGAATGGATCCGGAACAGATTAGGTACCCGAACTCGCTTTGCGATGCATCGAACACACTCGCATCCCGCCATTTCATCATCGCGCACGCGCAAAGCAGACAAAAAAAGCCGTTAATCGCCGAAAGCGGGAAACCGTCGCCATTCCTTGTAAGAAGTTGTTGTGGGTTCGACGGTGGTGCGTGAAAAAAAAATGGCTGCCGTGTAAAAATTAATTTCTGAGCTTATTTAATTGTTTTTTAATTTTAATTTTATAAAAGTGTTAATAAGTGAATAATCATGCATCGTCGTAGAGCAACTGCTTCCAGTGCCGAAGAGCTGGCGCTATACTCAAGGCTATCAAACGATAAGGTGAGCGGCCCCATTTTGCTATGACTCCATATTTTGGCGGGATATTTTATTTTACCCCGTTTTAATATTTTTGAGGCCCGCTCCTTTTTTTCCTTCACATAAAATTAACTAATTTATTTTAATTATTTTTTTTATTTGCTGTGTAATTTTTTGCCTATTTCAATTTGGGGCTCCCTAGAGGAGCGCCACGTCCTAGCATAGGCCACCATCTTGGAAAACCTGTGGCCGTGTGGCCTCCATCTTGTCTACCTTAATGGAACCTTTTTGTCTACAGGTTGTGTTTTACAATATATTTGTTATTACCATTATAAAACGTATAGGGGGGCTCAGGGACAGGGCTCATTTGACGCACCTTTGAATAACTTTCAATATACGAAAATTCAATTCAATAGGTCTTCAAAAAAAATAAAATAAAAGAATTTACTTTTTTCACAATATCACCCTTATCAGAACTTGAGAAGGGGTGGTTCAGGGCTCATTTGAGGCCCCTCTGGTTTCTTTTCAATAGCTGAAATTCCGTACCTATGATTTATTTTCAAGTGATCGATTGAAATTCAAACGGAACACTTCGGAAATAAATAACATTAAAATAATTTACTTTCTTAGCAATTTAATTTTCTATTACCCCTATCAAAGGTAGTAGGTGGTTGGCTCGGGGCTCATTCGACGCCCCTTTCATTTATTTTCAAGTTGGTAATCAATTGATAGACATAGTAAGGTGGTTGCTCAGGGCTCATCTATCACCCTTATCAAACAAAAGTGATAAGAGGGTAGCTCAGGTGTCACTCAGGGCTCATTTGACGCCCTTTTAATTTTTTTTCAATAATTGATTGAAACTTGACTAAATCACTTCTTCGAAAACAAATAAAATTGAAATAAATAATTTACTTATTTTTCAATCGCCCTTATCAGAACTTGAAGGCGGGTGGTTCAGCCGGTTCAGGGCTTATTCAGAATTCTATAGGAGATTCTGGACTGGACACAAGCAAAAAAAAATGACCCGAGCCGCCTGCTCAGAGACACTCTCCATCATGGTTCTGAGTGCATAGACTCCTGACGCCACTTTGGCACATATTTATTTATTTATTTATTCATTTATTTACGTATAAGAAAAATACATTTGAAGTTGAACAGAGTTTAAATCTAAAAAAAAAAAATCTAACCTAAAACAATTCTCCTGGCCTTCGTCTTAAATTTATCCAGAGATAAACCAAAGAACTCAAGGCCCTCACAGAACTTATTTACATTGGCAGATATTCTATTCACAGGACTGAATAGTAGGTACCAGGTTCGACAGTAAGGAATGTGCAGTAAAGATTTACTTCGTGTCTGATAACTTTGAATGTGTAGATTAAAACATTCAAGACATTCGTGGCTTTTTATGTAGTAGTTAAGAATTTTAAATGCAAAACAGACATCAAAATATTCCCTTCTGCGAACAAGAGTAGATAAGTCTAAATAAGTCATAGTCAGGTCATCACTGAGAATTACACCACTCAAAGAAAGTTTGTACCTTGCAAACTTAATAAATTTGTGTTGAACACTCTCAAGCCTATTGATGTGGATCTGATAGTAAGGTGACCAAACTATGCATGAAAATTCAAGAACGGACCTGACCAGTGATGTTTAAAGAATTTTGATAGGGCGTATACTTGTAAAGTCCTTAGTAACTCTCTTAATAAACCCCAACATTTTATTAGCCCTGCCAATTACCACTTCAAAATGCTCAGTGATCATTAGCCTAGTATCTAGATAGACACCAAGATCTTTAATGATAGAAACTTCAGACAAGCGAACATTGTTTAAGTAATACTGCAAGGGAACACTATGGGTGCGTCTACTGAATCTTATACAACAGCACTTATCGATGTTGAGGGACATGTAATTAAGCTGACACCAATCGTGAACGATGTTAAGATCATTTTGCAAAATAAGTATGTCTTGAGTTGACGTCACCTGACGATACAACTTGTTATATGATTTATTTATTTATATATATATTTATTGATATGTTATTAACATGTGAATTCCATGTCAACTTTGTGTCAGCACTCACCCCCAAAGACATAACTGGCTCATTATGCAGCAGCTCGAATTCTCTAGTGGAGAATACCAGGGTAATAGTTCTAGATTCGTTTGTACTTAGTTGTTTTGCTGAAAACCAATCCTCAACCCTGTCTCCTCCAGGCTCCCCCTGAGTGTTTGAAGATCTTTGGCCTTTCTAATCAGTGTTGTATCATTGGCGAACAATATCAGGTAAGAACTGGGGTCACGCCCCTCCAAATCATTTATATAGATCAGGAAGAGCAAGCGGTCCCAGCACTGACCCTTGAGGAACACCCAAATCTAGTCTGGCAAAGGATGAAGAGTTGTCTGCAACATTTACTACTTGCGACCTTTCTGTTGGATAGAATTTTATTAGGCCCATACTTTCAGATGCAAATCTGTATTGTTTTAGTTTTATCAGAAGGAGATCAGAGGAGACACAGTTGAAGGCTTTGCTTAGATCACAGAACAGAGCCCCACTATATTCCCCATAAATTGATAGTGCTAGTAGTAGACTTGCCACTCCCAAAGCCAAACTGCTTAGAACTAAACAAATTCTGATTCTCAAAATAATTGGTTATTCTGTTTTTAAGTGCCTTTTCAAAGATCTTGGAGAAAACAGGGCCAATTAATATAGGACGGTAGTTACCTACTTAATTCCTCTACTTCACCTTTTATACTCAAATTCAACAGCTTGGTTAGAGGACAGATAATAATATTATTAACTGCTTTTATTATTTTAGAGTTTATTCCATAAATGTCCTTGCTATTTTTGTTTTTTATTTGTCTTACAATGTCTCTAACTTCATTGATAGATATGGGAGTGAAATTATATTAATGATCTCACCTTTATCAACATCAATGGAAAGTTTTATGTCTTTGCTGATGATAGCACTATATTGTGGAGTGACCAGCTTATTGAGTCCCATCAGAGTGTAAACTTTCTTGGACTGGTGCTTATTTATTTATTTATTTATTTATTCATTACAAACTCTACAGATTTACATCCAGTTACAGAGTAGGGTAGAAGACTAACCTAAGTGACCGGTGTGAAGTTAGCAGCCTTTTTGCAGCAGCCAAAAATGTGAAGTTAGCAGCCATTTGTAGCAGCCAAAATTGTGAAGTTAGCAGCCATTTTTTGGCAGCTCTTTTTTAAAAAAAAAAATGGTTGATTTACAAATTTTGTGTACATTATTATTATATACCCTCGTGCAAAATACAACAGAAAAACAGAAAAACAAAAAAAACTACGCCTAATAAAACATCAAGTAGCACATTAACATCTACAAAACAACTTTTTTAAAATAAAATGTGACACCATGAAAATTAGAATAGTCTTTAACATAGCCCTCAAGTACGTCTAATTCGAAGAACAACACCTTATTGCCGTCAGGCTGGGATCAACCCTTATTATTAAAATAATTCGAAAAGCACATTTCGGAGAAATGTAACACCATCAAACTCAGTGGGACGATCATCAGAACCATTTCTAACATTCCCATCAAAGGACAACCCCTTACCTGCCATCGGAGTGTGTTAAAAACTACCCTTAGTACGAAAATAATGGAAAAAAATTGGAAAAACACATTTCCCAAAACTGTAACGCTCTGAAACTTGATTCAGACGGTAACTAGGACCATTTCAAACATTCCCTCCAAAGGACAACCCCTTACCTGCCGTCGGAGTGTGTTAAAAACTACCCTTAGTACGAAAATAATGGAAAAAAATTAGAAAAACACATTTCCCAAAACTGTAACGCTCTGAAACTTGATTCAGACGATAACTAGGACCATTTCAAACATTCCCTCCAAAGGACAACCCCTTACCTGCCGTCGGAGTGTGTTAAAAACTACCCTTAGTACGAAAATAATAGAAAAAAATTGGAAAAACACATTTCCGAAAACTGTAACGCTCTGAAACTTGATTCAAACGATAACTAGAACCATTTCAAACATTCCCTCCAAAGGATCACCCCTTACCTGCCGTCGGAGTGTGTTAAAAACTACCCTTAGTACGAAAATAATGGAAAAAAAATGGAAAAACACATTTCCGAAAACTGTAACGCTCTGAAACTTGATTAAAACGATAACTAGAACCATTTTAAACATTCCCGCCAGAGGACAACCCCTTACCTGCCGTCGGAGTGTGTTAAAAACTACCCTTAGTACGAAAATAATAGAAAAAAATTGGAAAAACACATTTCGGAAAACTGTAACGCTCTGAATTGGGACGATAACTAGAACCATTTCAAACATTCTTTCCAAAGGACAACCCCTTACCTGCTGTCGGAGTGTGTTAAAAACTACCCTTAGTACGAAAATAATGGAAAAAAATTGGAAAAACACATCTCCCAAAACTGTAACGCTCTGAAACTTGATTCAGACGATAACTAGGACCATTTCAAACATTCCCTCCAAAGGACAACCCCTTACCTGCCGTCGGAGTGTGTTAAAAACTACCCTTAGTACGAAAATATTGGAAAAAAAATGGAAAAACACATTTCCGAAAACTGTAACGCTCTGAAACTTGATTAAAACGATAACTAGAACCATTTTAAACATTCCCCCCAGAGGAAAACCCCTTACCTGCCGTCGGAGTGTGTTAAAAACTACCCTTAGTACGAAAATAATGGAAAAAAATTGGAAAAACACATTTCCCAAAACTGTAACGCTCTGAAACTTGATTCAGACGATAACTAGGACCATTTCAACATTCCCTCCAAAGGACAACCCCTTACCTGCCGTCGGAGTGTGTTAAAAACTACCCTTAGTACGAAAATAATAGAAAAAAATTGGAAAAACACTTTTCCGAAAACTGTAACGCTCTGAAACTTGATTCAGACGATAACTAGAACCATTTCAAACATTCCCTCGAAAGGATCACCCCTTACCTGCCGTTGGAGTGTGTTAAAAACTACCCTTAGTACGAAAATAATATAAAAAAATTGGAAAAAC